TAATATTATTATTAATTTTTTATTATTTATTATTTATTTTTTTATTATTATTATTTTATATATATTATAAAATTTAATATATGTCTAATATATATAATAAAATTATATTTTTTTAATATTACATATGTCAGCCATTTTCAGTTGGAGCTTGAAAACGTACTGCAACTGCGTTTCGTTTTATAATCTAGAAGCAATTAAAAAGCGCACGAAACTAAAACGGAAGGATGACGGGAGTTGCAGTACTTCCATTACGTCATAGCATGAGTACTCGGAGTGAGTAAAGGAACGCACTCTTTATCTTCTTTTTTTTGCGCGTCACAGAATCGTCACGAAGCTGCAAGATTTTTTGATCAGCTTTTTTCTTTTTTTAACTATATTGCGTATTAAAAATGCTCGTGCAAATTGCTGTAGAAATAAGGCAAAAAATAAGATCACGTAAATTAGTATACTTAGCTGCTGTATTTGATCTTTCTTCAGGTATTTATTTCGCAAGAGATAATTTATCTGAAATAAAAAATGCGGTCATTAATTCAGTAGTTATTTAGTATAAATTATTTAGTATAAATAGTTAACATAAAAAACTAGTTTTATTCGTCACCTCTTTTAGAATAAATTTTCAAGTTAAATAACAAAAATCACACAAGCGCTCTCGAATCATTTAATTTTCTTCGTATATTTAATTTCTTCGTATATGTGAAACATCGACAAATTATCACCGCGATTTATTTTAATGCGGATTAAAAATAAAAAGGAAGCAGAATAAACAGATCATTTAAAATTCAAATAAAAAGAATGTACAATAAAGAATAAAATATAAAATATTAAAAACGGATAATTAGAATTCAGACATAATAAACGAAAATAAGGAATAAGGAATTAAATTGGAACAATTTAAGAAAAAAAATCATTTTCGGCTAAGAACATTTTCCTTGTTTTGTCCTGAAATATGATTTTTTATATATTGAAATTTACTTTTCTGTTCCTAATTTTCTATTCTTTATTTCTTTCATTGTGTCTTGAGTCTTTATTTTCAACTAAAAAAATGATTTCCTATATATCGAAATTTAATTTTTTGTTCCTAATTTCTTAATCTAATAATAATCTAATAATTTCTTCATACTTTTACACTTTATTCGAAGAATGTCGGGAATTCTTAGAATATCCTCTCATCCATAGAACATCCTTTGGATAGGTTTTTAAAACATTTCTTGGAGATCTGTATTGTATAAGTATGTATTTCTAGGAATGTCTATTAATTTTAATCAGTTACTCGGTTTAATTTATCTTTATCTGTTTTAATTTACAAGATAATTAAATTTAATTGACAAGATAATTAAATTAATCTATACATTAAAAATGAATATTATTAACTGCCTTCAGCAAAAAAACTTTGCAGATGTATAAGATTTAATAAGATTAATTTATATATTTGGATCCAATGAGGAATTAAGGACAAGAATCAATCGTATTAAAGAATCTTGGCGGTTACAAAGCTATTCTTTCTACTAGCACACAGTTATTAATATTTTGGTCAACACAAATTAACTTCTATCTCGGGTCTTTTTTAGCTTTAAAAGTTAAAAAAGTAATAAAGATAAACAGCAAATTAAATTAAAGTTAATTTAATACATTAATAAAAATGGACACAAGTATGTTCTTTATAAATGCACCAATGTACATTTTTATTTGTACATCATACTTCATAAAGTGAAGTAAATAAATACACGTTTGAAGCTTAGTGAAAGCGAGAAAGAAAATTTTAATGCAGTCTAATGCAACAATAAAAAATTGCTTATTATATCGTGAATCTTTAAACACGATGGGCGAATCTAAAAGTGTGTAAAAAAAGGAACGAACCTAGCGCTTGAAGCGAGTCAAATGTCACTCGAGATTGCTCGAGATCCTCGCGAAAATTGGCCACGAAAGTGACACGTCACTGACGACGGGCCAATTGCACAGCCTAAATCACGCACGTCCCACCAATGACCGGCCGTCGCACGACGTGCGCGTGGCGCGCGTCCGCGGGCAACTTCACGGCATACCGCGTAAGCATTGCCGGCCAGCCGATCGTCAGTCAGTCAGCCAGTCGAAATGAAGATGGCCGCCGAGGTGAGGTGGCTCTTTGTTTTCCTCGTGTTGTGCGGCGTGTCGTCGTGCCGCGGCGAGGCGCCGCATCGAAAGTTCGAGTACAAGTACTCGTTCAAGCCGCCATACCTCGCGCAGAAGGACGGCAGCGTACCGTTCTGGGAGTACGGTGGAAGTGAGTACGAATATCCCCTTCTCCTCTGGAAAACGGAAAGCGTATAACCTAGACCGACACCTGTCGCGTCGACGTCGCGCACTTGATACTTCCGTATGTTACCCTAACGGGGCCGATCTGAACGACTCAGCAGGAAGATCCGTCGCTCTCTCGCGTTCTCCGATGAGCACCATCTCGCTCTTGATCTCGTCGCCGCGATCGCGGCCGCGTGAATCCCCGCCACATTGCCGCGAAAGCGATCAAAACACTGATGACGTGTGTACACGCATGCTTCTCGCTTTCATGTATGGAAAAAAAAGTAACAAATCACGTCGGCTCATTAGGCGCGATTCGTCTGTAATTGATACAACAATTGGACGTTTCCGAGAAAAAAAAGTAATCGCTATTAATATCTAGTTTACTAGCTTCCTAATGATTTAATTTTCTTCTTAGTTCAGTTGGATGCTATAAAGTAGACATTATGCAAAAAATAGATTATACTTAATAAAGTCAGTAAAAAATATTGTTAATGTATGAAGATTTCTCTCTTCTTTAGAAATATATTTTATAATAATAATTATTTGAAGTACCAATATACTATATTATGCTGATTTTAACAAACATATGCTTTACTCATCTGCTATCAAAATGATGGTTTAATATATTTTTTATAATTTAAAATTTTTTAAATTCAATATATATCCATATATATAATTTATTTCCTTTTAAAAATACATTTATATCTTATATTACAGATACCATCGCTAGTTCGGAAAATGTTAGGGTAGCACCATCACTTAGAAGTCAGAAAGGTTTGTATATCAATGTTGTGTATGTAAATAAGACAATATTTGAAAATCTTTTTGGAAATAAATTGAAAGTATTTTTGCAAGATTTAAATATTCAAAGTATGTAAAGTACGTCAAGTACATGTTGACGATTTACATTACAAAAAATTTGCAAAATATTGCTTAGGTGCAATATGGGTAAAACAACCAACAACTTTCGACTGGTGGGAGGTAGAATTAGTATTCCGAATAAGTGGACGTGGAAGGATAGGAGCGGACGGTTTGGCATTCTGGTACACAAGTAGCAAAGGATACTACAATGGCACCGTGTTTGGTAGTTCAGATCTTTGGACGGGTCTGGGAATCTTCTTTGACTCGTTCGATAATGACAATAAACACAACAATCCATATATAATGGCGATTGTCAATGATGGCACGAAGGAGTTTGATCATATAAAGTAAATATTGCTATTTAATAATTATTTGATTTATTTTATAATCTGTACGACTCGTATATTCAAAGTAGCTGAAAATAATTCTTGTTTTATCTTGTTCTGAAACAGCGATGGTTCTACACAGCAGTTGGCAGGTTGTTTGCGAGATTTTCGTAACAAACCTTTCGCCACGCGAGCGCGGATAGAATATTATATGAATACATTAACTGTGAGTACTCTACAGAATTTTCCAGTAATTTTTTTATATCAACATCTTGATTAATTGACTTTTTCCATTTAAGTTATTATTCCATAGTGGCATGACAAACAGTGAACACGATTATGATATTTGCTTCCGAATTGACAACGTTATATTACCGAAAAACGGATACTTTGGAATTTCTGCTGCCACTGGTATACATATAAAAAAATATTGATGTAAACGTAATTATATCATGTATTTTATCGAATTTCTATTTATTCAGGTGGTCTGGCTGATGATCATGACATTTTATATTTCCTTACGACCTCTCTTTATCCTCCCGGACAATTGCCGGTGGATGGTAGTAAAGTTTCTCTAGAGGAACAAGCTAAACTCCAGCAGGAATACTTAGACTACCAAAAAAAATTAAATGAACAAAAAGAAGAATACCACAAGTAGGAGGATATGATATCATTTTACTTTTATAATACAAGTCCTAATATTAAGTTGCTGTATTATTTTGATAGAGAGCATCCAGAAATGCAGAAGGTGGACTATGAAGATTTTGAATCAGAAAATCAAAGAGAATTACGACAGATATTCAATGGGCAGAGCCAGATATTCGATGGCTTGCGTGAACTTCACAAGAAATTAGATGAAATTGTTGGAAGACAAGAGAGAACTCTGGGTTTAATATCTCAAATTGGACAAGGTAAATCGCCCATAATTAAATTATTATTTATATCGAAATAATGTTATGTATCGATTAATTTGACGTAAAAATGCATGCATCTAATTAGGTGCGCAAGTTGTAGGCCAATCAGGACATCAACCCTTAATCGATACCATACGTCGGCAAGAAGTCGATGCTGTTTTGGATAATCAAAATCTTATATTGAATACAGCTAGAGAAATTAAATCTTTTGTCGGAGAAGTTCATACTAAGACTGAATCCATTCTTAATAATCAAGCACGCGCTCCAACAGCACACGTTTGTATCATTTGTATATTTCAAAAGTATCAAATTTTATAAAATGTATCAATAATAAAATATTGATAGGTACAGCCAATGGGATATGATTATCAGTCATTTATGACAGAGATGCGAGACGGACTTAATACATTAAAAAAGGACATTAAAACCACAGGGAACACAGATTGTCCTACCTGTCTATCATTGACCATGTTCCTGATAGTTTTTGCTGCACAGATGATACTCTTTTTGGGATACAGTTGTTATCGGTAATTAAACACATAAAAATTCATATATTACAAATATATAAAAAGGATATATAATATTACTTCTGTTTCTTCTCTGCAGAGACAATAAAGAGGCACAAATGAAGAAGCTTTACTAATATATACATCATTCATATTGGCCAATACATTCTTATTTGTGAATACGATTCGATACTTCGATATTTCAATTACACGTTCGATTCGATATTTTTATTACACGTTATTCATATCCGCGAAATACGTGTGTCTCGACATTTGTATAATAAATTCTTCATCGACTAGATTAATATAAAACTATACAATATCCGTTGGGTATTACTTCATGGGAGCATGAAGATATCTCGCAGCGATGTGATTCATTTTAAATATTTCTGTTAAATATCTAAATGGAGTACAATATCTCTTTGCAATGCAATGTATATTATTGTTATCGTATACTTGACAAAAGCGATTGGAGGAGAAAAATTTAAGTTAAAGGGTGCTCTCGAATTAGTTGACCTTTTGAGAATTATTAAAGTTGCTTACGGTCTTTTTTGTGTCGTTATATATCATATATATATATATATATATATAAATATAAAATATATAGGTTTTTACTACCGATCATCGCAAACATATTTATCGTTACACATACACACATCGTATTTCATTTGTAGCTGTATCATTGATGTCTCGCAACGCTAACGCAGCTTTTCTGTAAATCTTTGTACGATATTTTTTGTATTATGCATTTAGTATGTGAATATACGAATTACTTTAATCTTAAGAATTATTCTTTTTTGCCGCGTTTGAAGTCGTCAGCGTTTTACTGTGAGCTATGTCATTTCTCTCTCTTAGAATGAGGAGAGAGAAATATCACACGTCGGATCTTAACATTATATGATAACGATTTTAAATGTCATCATTCAGTTAGCAAAGATTATTATAGTAAACGACGTGCGTTTGCGTATATTACAATCTACCATATAAACGTGATCGTATGCAGTGAGTTTTTGAAATTAAAAGATCTTTAAATAATGTATGTACGCGTGTAAGATGTATGTGTGAATAGAGTTACGATAGCGTAGGAAAAGCGAAAAATGGAAAGATCCTCTAATTTCGTTATTCCTTATCATTGCATTTGTAAAAGTTTATCGAATTATGTAGTCATGTATGAAAAAAATATATCTAACAAAAATACAAGGAGGGTGAAAAGCGAGAAAATATTTAATATTTAGTAGATTTTTATTTCCTTACATCAATTTGACCATAATTAAACGCGCTACATTGTTATTAGTAATTAAGAATCATAAAAATTTACAAAAATAAAATTAGTTAAATTATATTATGATCAACTAATTGATTATAATTTAATTCTATTTTATTTTTAAAAATTTTTTAAAGTACAATTACAATCATTCTATCAATTTAAAATGTGTCTTCGATTTATCGATATATCTCGAAATATCTCGTATTACGTTTTTACGATTCGCATCTTTTCCGATAGGTGTAGCGATCTCGCCGCTTCTTTCGGCCGTTCTCCTTACGGTAAGATTGTGATGTGACAAACGGTTTGATATAATCGAAGGAATCCGGTTATTATAACAATAATATATCCAACTTTCCGGGTGAATATCGTATA